CAGCCCCATTGCAAATGAAGTCTGGATAGTGTAGCAAGGTTATCCTGTTGAGTAAAATTCTGCTTCCCTATCATCGTTAGTAAAAATGACGGCAGCCATCATCACCAGCAGCTGCAGCATCCTCGTAAGTCCCAATATTAATTAAATGGTCTAAAAACTCAAGCAAATTTCCTTCCTTCCCACTAGGTGATCATTATTACATGAAGGCTTTGAATTGCCACATGTTTACATAATTAATCTTTTTTCCCCTTCCTTCGTAGTTAACTGAATTGAAAAACCTATGCTAACAAATAAGTCAACAAGCCCTGAAGCCAGTGAAAACTCTCGAAACAAAGATATGAGCAATAAATATGAACAATATAGGTGGGGGGTGTGAAGAATGCATGTTTCCCTGTCTCTTATATAAAAGAAAGTAGTGAAGTAATTTATGCTTTTGTTATAAGGTAAGAAGGAATCTAGTCTTGAGAATGTAGAATCTCAATGGAAAAGACAAGTTCTTTGCCCAAATTAGGGGTAGAAACTATTCAGAACAGAGGACAAATATCAGAGATGAAGAGACTTGGTTCCATTATTGTTTATAATAGTGAAAAATTGGAAGGAAATATCCAGTGATAAGGTAAATTTTGGCAAATGGAAATAATAGAATATTAGAAAGTCATTGAAAAAATTTGAAGAGTGGAGCGCCTGGGTGGCTCAGTGGATTGAGCCTCCAAGTTTTGATTTAGACTCAGGTCATGATCTCACCATTCATGAGTTTGAGCCCCACCTCGGGCTCTGTGCTGGTAGCACGGAGCCTGCTTGGGATTCTCTCTCTCTCCCTCTCTCTCTGCCCCTCCCTGGCTCTTGTATTTTCTCTCTCTCTTTCTCAAAATAAATAAATAAACTTTTAAAAAATTTGAAGAGTAATACAATAAATGAAGCTCAACATATAAAGATAATTTTTTAAAAGCTGAAAAAATTCATTCAGTGTCATGCCCCTTTTGGTAAAACAAAAAATGATAACGTGGGCATGTGGCGGAGCATGTGGGTGTGTGAATGTATATGCATAGTGAATAAGAGATAACTATTGGTTAAGGCTTGCCTTTTTCACGTGAGCAGGGACCATACATCTTGGTCACCTCTTGTCTATCATATTGTCTGGCAATATCTCCCCCCTTTCAGTAGCTTAGCAAGAAGTCAGCTCAGCGGTTCAGTGGAAAAACAGGGTGATAACCAAGGCTCAGCTCCACTGGAGGCATCCCCATTTAACAAACTTACTTCCCCATCCGGGAGGCACCGGGTGTTGGGCAGCTGCCTGGATGCTTCCCTCTTTCTTCCAATTCCCATAAATATATCGAGTGTCTATAAGGGATGGAGTCCCTCTCTACCGAAAAGCTTGCCCTAGTCCTTCCAGTCTCGTGATGTTCACGCTTTACCACCCTCCATGGGCAATAGGGAGAGTTCAGGAGATCATTGTGCCCTGCTATTTCTTTGCCTGTGAGCTTTCCACAAAAGCCATGTGTTTTTATGGTTCTAGGTGTGTGTGAGAGTGTGTGTGTGTGTGTGTGTGTGTGTGTGTGTGTGTGTCTTTTCATGTGTTCTTTTTGTATAATAGGGGCAAACATGGTGCATTTGGTTTTGTATGTGTGGAGTTGGAGGTTCCTGTGGAATGTTCATGTAGATATATCCAGTGCACAGTTAGATATTAGGATCAACAGCATAGCATCTGGGATGGACGTAAGAATTGAGGATCATCAGCTTGTCATACCTTTAGACTGCCATGGGGGGATAGAGGAAGGGCACCCAACCCTAAGGGCTGGTGGATGGTTTCCTGGAGAGAGAAGACCTGTGCCAAGTCTTCAAGGATGGAGTGTCTTGGGTTAATAAGGTGTGAGAAAAGACTTTCCAGGGAGAGAAAATAACCTTTGTCATGTCAGGAGCAGAATGTGCAATAGTGGTTTCTGTAACCTGTGGTTCCCTTCTATGGACAGCTGTTGACAGAAATCCCAACTTATCCTAATTCCCTTCCAGCTCCTCCAGAGCCACCATGAAGCTTCTCAATTGATCCTGCAAAGAGTTTCTCCCAAACATGCTAATGAAAGCCAATGGAAAAGCTTTCTGACTTAACAAAGAATTGTTACAAGTTGAGTCTGATGCCTAAAGCCACTTTCAGGAGTTAGCAAAAGTAGGGCAGTCTTGGTCTAAAACATACTCCAAACCTTTCTCTTCCTTTATGATGTTGGGGGCCTTTAAGGTTGGAAAATATTTAGGATCAGGATGCTACAGGGTCTTGATTGTGAGTGGAAGCAGAAAAATGGCAAGGCATTCGTTTGAGGCTAGAAGAGATGCCAAGTTTGAGGATGGCTAATGTGAGCTGTGTTGGGAGATGTGACATGACCTTGTGAGATGAGGGAAGTCCAGGGATGCTGGTCCAGGACTGATATAGGAGCAGATCCTGCCCAGGCTCCACCCTCCTCTCAGCCCCAGGCTGCAGGCAAAGCTGTGTAGTTACAAGACTCTGCTCTTCCCCACCGAAGACAATGGGCTGAACTAAACCAGAAACCCAAAGTCCCAAGGTCACCTCTGAAACTGTGTGACCTTTACTGTACTTTAAGACTTTCTGAAATTCATTTTAACTCCATGCAATGCTGATAGCAGTGCAGGTACACAGTGTGAAAATTAATAAAGGGAAACATCATTAAAATGGAGTGTGGAAGCCAGAAGCGGGGAGCTCTCACTCTATGCCACTCCACCTCAGTTCTAGGAAGAACTGTCAATGCAGACCCCAACAGAAGAATGCTCAGGGGAAAAGAATCCTCAGTTTTGGGCCCCGACACAAAAAGATGTCATTTCACCTCTGACAAGTAATAGACTACACCAGCAACTCAGCCAATGAGAAACCATCATCACTCTCAACTCTTGCTTTTCTCGAAGGGACAAGAACTCCTCTCAACTTCCTCTTTCTTCATAAAATAACATTCCTGTCTTTTGTTTGTGGGACTCACCTATGGTTTTTGCCATAGCTTGCTTGTTCCAAACTGCAGTCCTCTGATATTCCTGAACACACCCATATTTTCTGGTAAAATAACTGATTTTTATTTGTAAGATCAATAATAGCAGGTGGTGAAAAACATTTTTGTTAAATAAATGAATGAATTTTTCCATATCCATGAAGGTCATACTTGGAAACATGTTGAGGAAGTACAAAACATTTGAAAGGTTCTAGAGATCATTATGTCTATGGCAAACACAAGTGTTTACCTGGTTCTGTCTCCCCCTGGAAGGTGCTAATTTCTGAAGCCTCAAGGGGTAACATTGGAGTGGAGAAAAATCCCAATGTGAAATGATGTCATATTAGCTGTCTGTCTCTATCTCTCTGTCCTTTATAAGCTATTGCCTCCGTGAGGGTCTCTGGGCAAGCGTGACTGTCCCTCCTCTTTGCTCAAGAAGTGCCCATCTTCTTGTCTGGGTGAATGCCATCCCAAGACCCCTCACTGGACTCTCAACTTGGTTTACATACTAAGGGAATGGGCTCTGGAATGGCTCCTCTCTTCCCCCAAAATATCAAGTGGGACTTGGGTGCTTGAATATGAGGGGTTAGAGAGAAGGCAGTGATGACTAAGTTTGCCAGCCCTGCTACTGGGAGGTTGGCAAGGCTGTTACCAAAATGTTTAAGTCAAGAGCAGATTGGGAAAGAAGACCATTTCAGATCTGGAGAGATTGACTTGGAGGTGATAGTCTAAACAACATGTCCATGTAGAAGAGGCTGGACCATCAGTCGGTGTTTGACCCATTGTGGTCTTGACGTTATTTTCAAAATTAATCATCAGGAAATGTATTCCTCTGCTCATGCCTTTTGCCACTTGGGGAGCTCCAACTCCAGCCTTTTCCTGTTCAAGGCGACTTAAACATCCATCCTTCAACCAGAAGTTGAGACAGATCACGATGCATTTTATTAGTGTGACCACTTTGGGGAAAGGCAAGTATTATCCAACTGATCATATGGGGCCAGTCATGGCACCATCACAGACTTTGTCCTTATCTGGTCATTGGGTCCATGATAGTATGTGTGTTGGATGATGTGTAACTAGAGCCAGGCGACCGAGGAGCTAGAAGCTAAGTGATAGTGCAATTGGAAGCAGAAGGGAGTTCAGGGGCTGGGTATATACTTGTTTAGCTCCGTGAGAGAGTTCAACTGGGTATCCACTGATCCCACCTGGGAACTTAAGCTTGCCAATTCTCACCCTACTCAAAAACTTTTTTTTACAGTTTTCTTAATCAACAAAAGGTCAGTACTCTGGAGCCCAAATTTCCCAAGTTCTATATGGAGAAATGCAATAGAATCTTGCTGTTTAGAAAATCTACAAGGCTTGTATTCACCAGCAGTGGAGCGGGAGATGTCCTCAATGGTATCTTTTCATTTCATGTAGCTGTTTTCATTTCATTTCATTTCATCTCATCTCATCTCAATTCATCTCATCTCATCTCATCTCATCTCATCTCATTTCATTTCATTTCATTTCACTTTTTCTGAAAAGTCCAGACCAGCGCTCAGCTTCACAAGTTAATGTCTTAATAGTCTGGGCAACAGCAAGCATCTCACTACTGCCATCCCACGCAATGACATGTGTCGTGGAGATTGTGGACACAGGTTGCGGGAGCATGCCTTCCCATTCCCTTTCCCTGAAGCCTCCGTTTCATCCCCTGGGATCTTGTGTACCTAAATTATGGCCATGCCACCATCTGCAGGCTTGGCGTTTTCTTCTTGGAACTTTGGTCTCAGGAAAAACATCTCTCCCTTTAGCTTTCAAATATTACATTTGTTCCCCATTTTATGTCCATTCATTTAGTTCTGTTTGAGTCTCCCCAATGCTACTGTTCTTACCCACTAAGTGTCAGGTTTATCAAGTCTTTCCCTATTATGTCACAATCTTTAACTCTGTTAAATTTTATGTGTCCTTGCATCCTGGCCCTCTCTGGGACATTGCTACACTTGGTGGTTTCTATCAGGATCTCATTCTCCTTTCACCACCATTGGCACCTCCTAGTTTTTGCTCAGTTCTGCTGCTGGTGGAAGAAAGCCATGGATCTGGGAGCCTCAGGAAATGATTCTGTTGTCACTGAGTTTGTCCTGCTGGGTCTGTCAGAGACCCCAGCTCTGCAGCCCGTCCTCTTCACCGTCTTCCTTCTCGCTTACGTAGCTACTCTTGGGGGCAACCTCAGCATCCTGGCTGCCATCCTCGCCGAACCCAAACTCCACACCCCCATGTACTTCTTCCTGGGGAACTTGTCCCTGCTGGATGTCGGGTGCATCAGTGTCACTGTCCCTGCCATGCTGAGACGCTTCGTGTCCAATAACAGAAGCATTCCCTACGGGGCCTGCCTCTCACAGCTCTTCTGTTTCCACCTCCTGGCAGGGGCGGACTGCTTCCTGCTGACAGTCATGGCCTATGACCGCTACCTGGCCATCTGCCAGCCCCTCACCTACAGCACCCGCATGAGCTGGGGAATTCAGCAAGCGCTAGTGGGCGTGTCGTGTGCCTTTTCCTTCACCAACGCACTGACCCAAACTGTTGCCTTATCTACTCTTGACTTCTGTGGCCCCCATGTGATCAATCACTTCTACTGTGACCTCCCACAGCTCTTCCAGCTCTCCTGCTCCAGCACCCAGCTCAATGAGCTGCTGCTCTTTGTAGCAGCAGCCTTCATGGGTGTGGCCCCACTGGTCCTCATCACTGTGTCCTATGCACACGTGGCAGCCGCAGTCCTGCGAATCCGCTCTGCTGAGGGCAGGAAGAAAGCCTTCTCCACGTGTGGCTCCCACCTCACGGTTGTCAGCGTATTCTACGGGACAGGCGTCTTCAGCTACATGAGGCTGGGCTCAGTGGAGGCTTCGGACAAAGACAAAGGGATTGGCATCCTCAACACTGTCATCAGCCCCATGCTGAACCCACTCATCTACAGTCTCCGGAACCCTGATGTGCAGGGCGCCCTGCAGCGGGTGTTCACAGGGAGACGGCCTCCAGAGTGAGATCCCTTCCTCTGGCCTTTAGGAATGTCACGCTTACTGCTTCCAAAAGGTATTGTGATTAGTGCAGATGGGAAGTGAGTATGATGAAGTGGGGTTGGAGACTGGCTTAGGAAGGAAAATACAATAAAAATGATAATGGCTATCACTTATTTTATGGTACATGACAGGCCGTCTTCTCAGTGACCGACATCTGCTAACTCATTTAATCCTCATAATAACCTTATGAGGTAGATGTAGATTTACAGTTGCCGATTAGGAAATTGAACCTTAGAGAGGTTGAGTAACTTGCCCAAAGGCACACAGCTAATCAACACCAGGGCTGGGATTTGAACCCAGGCAGGCTACATCTGTAAGTACTGCATCTCATTTCGACGAGGAAGGGTATCTATAAGGGGTAGGGAGGCGGACGGGAACTGGGCAACAAAAAGAATGAAGAAGAAAAGGAAAATCAATATGAGAGGGAAAACGTTATTTAAACAAAACAGAAATACGAATTAAGAGATTTTTGTGCCTTTGACAAATTTACACTTTGTTCCAGAGCAGCTGGTAGAGGTTAAAGGGATTGCTGGAGGCCAATTGCAACAAATAAATCAACAAAAAGGAAATGTGTTAAAACCAAGCCTGAGGTGTCTTTAGGCCTAAACTGAGTCTTTTGCAGGCAGCGTACAGATGGGTCTTGTTTGTTTTTTATCCATTCTGAAGCCCTGTATCTTTCAACTGGAGCATTTAGTCCCTTTACATTCAAAGTAGTTATTGATATGTATATACTGCCATGTTATTACTTGTCTTGTGGTTGTTTCTGAAGATTTTCTCTGATCCTTTCTGGTCTTTATGGCATGTTTTGCCTACTTTCTTTAGCGATATATTTGGTTTTCTTTCTCTTTATTATTTGCATGTTTGTTAGTGGTTTTTAATATGTGGTTAGCTTTGGGTTTGTATATAACCTCATCTGCATATAGCAGTCTATATTAAGGTGGTGGCCATTTAAGCTTGAACCCATTCTTTTCTCCTCTCCTCCCCATGTTTAAACATGTGTTACTACATTTTATATACCTTTTTGTTACTTCCTTGACTGATTTTTTAACAGAAACGTTCATTTTCACTGCTTTTGTGTTTCCTACTTTTATACTTCCACTCAAAGAGTTCCCTTTGATATTTCTTTCAAGGCTGGTTTAGTCATCATAAGCTCCTTTAACTTTTGTTTTTCTGGGAAACTCTACCTCTCCTTCTATTCTGAGTGATAGTCTTATTGGATAGAATATTCTTGGCTTCAGATTTTTCCCATTAATCACTGTGGCGCGCGCCCGCATGTGTGTGTGTGTGTGCGCGCGTGTGTGCGCATTTAGTTTTATTGTAACAAAACAACTTGTACACTTTTAAAGTTTAAAACCGAGCATCATCTTTCCTTTCCGGTGAAACAAAAAGAAAATTTAAAAATAAACAGGAACAAAATTACAATGGACAATGTCAATTCCCAATAAGATCCCATAGGTTCTTCTGATTCTCCTATCGAGCGGCAGTGTTCAAGTCATCATTAGGAGGGTATTTTATTTTATTTTATTTTTTAATTTTTTTTTCAATGTTTCTTTTATTTTTGGGACAGAGAGAGACAGAGCATGAACGGGGGAGGGGCAGAGAGAGAGGGAGACACAGAATCGGAAACAGGCTCCAGGCTCCGAGCCATCAGCCCAGAGCCTGACGCGGGGCTCAAACCCACGGACCGCGAGATCGTGACCTGGCTGAAGTCGGACGCTTAACCGACTGCGCCACCCAGGCGCCCCTAGAGCTGACTTTTAAAGGCTCCACCTGGGTGGCTCAGTCAGTTAAGCATCCTTCAGCTCAGGTCATGATCTCACAGTCAGTGAGTTGGAGCCCGGTGTCAGGCTCTGGGCTGACACCTCAGAGTCTGGAGCCTGCTTCAGATTCTGTGTCTCCCTCTCTTTTGCTCCTCCCCAGCTAACGCTCTGTCTCTCTCTAAAAAATAAAATAAAAACCAAAAAAAAAAATATTAAAGCTTTGGGCTCCAAGTCCCATTGCTTATACGAATTCAGCCCCTTGGTTTTTAAAAGCCAAATGTTTGGGGGATTAGTTTTCCCCACGTGAGCTCCCCAGTGTGAGTGATGTGAAACTGTTGGGGTTCAGAGCCCTCTGCCAAGAAAGAATTCTTGAGACATCTTCAGTGCAAAAGGTGGCTTTATTAAAGCACAGGGACAGGACCTGTGGGCAGAAAGAGCTGCACTGGGGTTGTGATGGGTGACTGATCATGTACCTTCAAGTTTGGAGGGAGGGCGTGGTTAGGGATAGAATAAGTCTCTAAAGAATTCTGGAAGCGAGGTTTCCAGGACCTTGACGGGGCTAGCTGTTGTTAGGAAAAGATCATTCAGTACTAACAAAATCTTAGTCATGAGACTCTTCAGATCAGTGGGCCATATGCATGGCTAACATATAACATATATGCTAACATATATTTGGGGGCTAGAGATAAAGGAAGTTTCCAAAGGAGTTTCTATATGTTAAAGGAGATTTACAGGATCCTGGGGGGTCGGGGTAATTTTAAGCTAAGATTGCCGTTTGGCTTTAGCAGTGTTAACATCGAGGCAGCCGAGTTCCTAGGGGAAGGTCACTCTGCCTGTCTCAAGGACTTGTCAGAGGGCTGTAAGCTGTAAGGAAATTTAATTTTTTTCTTTTGCCTTTGTTTTCCACATCGTAAGGGCCAGTTTCTCTGCCGGCTCCCTGCGTGTAGCTCCCTCCCTCCGGGTAGCAGCCTCCCTCCCCACTTCTGGCCTTTCAGATGCAGCTTCTTCTCTTTGGATCGCTCTCTGGTTTATTGACTTGGATGTGGATGGTATCTACAGTAAAACCTGGAATTGCCAGTAACTGGTCCTGCTTGTATTGATGTTCTAATTTAGGGGCATTTGGCAATACTGGGAAAGGCTTTATCTGTAACGTATGGTTGCTTCCTAGAATTTTCTGGTTCTGTCTGAACCCTAAACTTACAATACAGGTTACTTGTACCAGCACACGAGATGTGCTCAAGCAATATCAATGGGATGCATCTGTCTTGTTTTAAGGAAGACGGTCGCAATAGTTAGGCGTTATCTAGGGAGAGAAAAGAGGTACAAGACCTGCCAAGACATTAGACCTGACACGAAACTGAACCCCACATATTTTCATAAAAGCGTAAGTCTATTAAATTATTAATTGATTCCTAAAGCACTCACTGAGCCCCTAAAATGTAACAGGACTCATAGTAAGTATTGAGATGCAGAGAAGAGTAAAGCAAAAGCTCTGGTCTCAAGATGATTCCTTGATAGAAAAGGGACCCAAGGAGGCCAAAGTGGCAGAAACACGAAGGGTTGTAGGTGTTGTGTGTTAGGTGGCTTACGTGCACAGTGACGATAAAGAGAAAACTCTGTTGTGGCAGGACAGTGACAGTATTGCGAAAGGGCATCCTGGTTGAGATGCAGATTGAGCCGTGTGTTTAAAGATGAGCCGGCATTCGCCAGGCTGACCAGGGAGGGTCTCATTCCAGGCAGAGCATGACCTCTTCAGGGACCCTTTGAGAGGAGTCAGAGTAGGAGATGGTTGCGGTGGGGACTTGGGAAAGGGGGATCACAGAGTTGCAGCTGTGACTGGAGAAAGGGACGTACTGAGGGGGACAAGGGGGAAACAGAAGACTAAAGGAGATTTGGGTTTTGTTTTAGTTTTGTTTGAAAGTGAGAAGAGCTGCATGGTTTGCATGCTGGTATGCAAACACCAACCCAAAGGAAAGGTTGAGAGGCCCCCAAAAAGGAGATAGTTGCAGTGAGATACAAAGGAATGAGAAAACGTAACAGTTATGGCAGAAATGATTGCGTTTCTATATAATGACACATTTATTGATTAAGAGAAAGTGCTCGGGGCGCCTGGGTGGCGCAGTCGGTTAAGCGTCCGACTTCAGCCAGGTCACGATCTCTCGGTCCGTGAGTTCGAGCCCCGCGTCAGGCTCTGGACTGATGGCTCAGAGCCTGGAGCCTGTTTCCGATTCTGTGTCTCCCTCTCTCTCTGCCCCTCCCCCGTTCATGCTCTGTCTCTCTCTGTCCCAAAAATAAATAAACGTTGAAAAAAAAAATTAAAAAAAAAAGAGAAAGTGCTTATTTAAGCACTCATTGAAAGAAATAGAATATAATAATTAAGTACTGATAATAATAATTTCACCTCCCAGTCATTTCTTTTGCTAATAAATTATTTCATGAATAATTGATTAAATTGTTAAGTGTCTACTCGCTGTACTGCTTTAACACCTGCCCTCAAGGAACTTATAATACGCGGAAAATTATAAGAAAATGCATTAATTACAATGATAGAGTTACGCACAGCTTATTATAAAGCCCAGAGATTTAACCATCACTTACCCACAGAACCTTCAAGCATTGAAAACCAGGCCTGGTTATCATGCAGTACTCATATAAGGATTAAATTAATAAAGGTATATAAAAGTCTTTTTCATTTATTCATTCACCCAGCAAATGTTTACTGAAGTCCTGCTAAACATCCTACTAAGTGTCTATGCTGCACAGTAGGGCACAGAGAGAACCCATTCTGTTGTGGCAGAGTGCTGTAATCATGTTAGTTATTAACATACAATCAGTATTTTCCTTGGAGAGTCCAGGCATAAATTTCTCTCTTGAAAGCTAACATGAGAACTGTCAGCATGCTGTGGGTTTAAGCATATAAAAATACCACTAAATATAGTAATAATTCCTTACATGCAAATAGTACTTCCCAATTCACACAAACACTCCCATGCCCAGCATCTTATTTTTCTTTTTTCTTTTAATTTTTTTAACGTTTATCTATTTTTGAGACAGAGAGAGACAGAGCATGAATGGGGGAGGGGCAGAGAGAGAGGGAGACACAGAATCGGAAGTAGGCTCCAGGCTCTGAGCTGTCAGCACAGAGCCTGATGCGGGGCTCGAACTCCCAGACTGCGAGATCGTGACCTGGCTGAAGTCGGACGC